CACACACACACACACACACACGCACACACACGCACACACACCCACACATTTAAAAAAAAATCCAAAGTTATGAAAGCAGTTTCAATACAGAAAGCAAAAAGATGTTAAATACAGCGGTAGTGGACTTAACTAAATGGGCAGTGAGCACAACTCTTGGTTCTTTTTCTCTCCTTTTCTCAGACTAGATCGCCCTATCCATGGTGCCTGGTGCCTTCTCATCTCCAGTCACAACATGGAAAAAAACCTCTATCAATCCATGCCCCCCCCCCTTTTTTTAAACTGTCTTAACCTTGCACTGTATGCTTCCAGGGAAGCTGAGAATGTTCCTGAGTGTTCCATGGTCTGCCGGGGTAATAATGTAGTGTAAAGCGCATAGATCTTGCTTTCGAGTGGGGATAGATCTATGCGCTATACAAATGCTATTGATTGATTGGTTGATTGATTGGTTTATTAATTAATTAATTATTATTATTATTACTATTATTATTATTATTATTATTATTATTATTATTATTATTATTTCGTTGTTTTCAGTACCTCCTGAGGTACAACTTGATAAGAACTGCTCCGAACCGCCCACGGCTGCCTCGCTGGTGATATGCACGTGCAGGCTGGTGACGTCAGGCGATCCCCCAGCGCGCGTCAAGTGGTTCAAGAAGGACGGTTCTATCGTGTCCTCCCTCGTGGCCGAAACTTATGGGGAGGCCACTCTCACCATTATCGGTTGGTGGTTGTGTGGCATTACGCTACCTCAAACTTTCAAAGTTCTATTTGTCATTTTTGGCTTTTTTGAGTTTACAAGACCTTGAGGCCAGAAAGCAATTAATTATGCTCTATCTGCTCCATCAAAATCGTAAGAATATCCGGAGTCGTTATCAAGATATTCAAAGAATTGTTTTCGAAAAAGCTTGATAAAGTTATTGTGAAGCTAAAATATGTTGGCGTCAAATTTCTCAAAACTAGGTATTGAGCAGGTAGAACTTTGTAATTCTGAGGTAACAATAGAATTTATCTGTGTGGTTGAACTATGGATCTGACGTTGAGAAGCGCTTTGATGATGTTCTTTGTGACCACTGTTCTGGCCTCTTAATCAGGGACAGTCTGGTTGGGCGGATTTTTGTTTCGATGCATGGTTGTATTTTAGATATTATGAATTTGTGTGTGTATCTGTTTGTATGTGCATGTGTGTGCTTGTGTGTGTGTATGTATGCGTATGAGTATGTATGTATGTATGTATGTATGTATGTATGTATGTATGTATGTATGTATGTA